CAAAAATTCAGAGAGCTCTGGAAATTTTATGGCAGTATTTTAATGCAGTAATCATTTTAAAATCAATATTCTATTTCCTAAGTTCAAGTAAAGGAAATTACTGGAAGTCACAGCTTTCTAAGTAAAGTTCCTGAATGCTTTAAAATTAGCACTCCTAATGTCAAAAAGGGGTAACTGAGTTTAAGACATTGATTGCAATGCTCATCTCAGCATGAGATTTTTTTTTTTTACATTTTAATTATCAAAATGTGCTATGCAAGGGATAATGGCAACTTTTGATGCCATGATTCATTATCTTTTCTTCTGTGCCCAGGAACAGTGAATGAATTCCTTCACCTTGTAAAAAATATTGCTTTGGCAATTTGCACATTTGTTTGTTCCGCGGGCAGGTGGAATCCCAGACGCATGAGCTAAAGCATTGAATATAGACTGATATGCACAAAGACCACAAGACTAACAGAGCCCTTAAGAAAACAGCCAGGTGGAGCAAAAGCGGGAAAAAAAAAAGCATTGTGGAGCTTTCTCACACTTACTAGATTCATATTTTTTCAGTCTTCTGACATGGTTTCTCCCTTTTTCCGTCATTTCTTTATTGCCGTCATTGTCATCAAAGTCCGTCATTGCCTTATTCCGTCATTTCTTTATTCTTCTGACATGGTTTCTCCCTTTTTCCTTCATTTCTTTATTGCTCTAATGACAGTTGGGGCAAGAACACATTAAAAGTGAAATCAAGAAAAGCTAGAAACAAACCTCACAAGCATAATATTCACTTCTTTTTGAGAGACAGGTAAACCAATGGAGGGGAAAAAGAAAACGTCAGCTATTTTTTGGTTCACAGTCAAAACAGGAAAAAAAAGGAAAGCTGACACACCTGGCAGAGCAAATGTCTGTTATGAAGATAAAGTAGAGAGCCCTGAGAGGCTACAACTATGGGCCCGGGCAGAGTTTGTATAATCTGACTATATGAGAAGAATCTTTTCCCTCCTTTCATAAGATTCAGGGAAGCTGCAGCAGTGCTGCCAAAAAGCCCTCAGGCTTCTGCAATCCCCCTTCAGCAAATCTTTGCTCTGTGATAGAGCTCATAGCTCTGTAGCCGGGTCCCAGCACAGCTAAATCAGCTGCTCAGTCACACGGAGCTGGATGACACCAAGAGATGAGACATGCTCAGCAGGAGAGGGTTTTGAAACTCAAGAAATCTGGCCTATTTTCACACTGTAACACAGGCAGGATACTGTCTTGAAGGAAGGACAAGCTCTGAAACATTGTCTAAGCTCTAACACTTTGTCTTCAAACAAAATGACTCAATTGAAATATCACGAGGACGAGTGGGATAGTTTCATGTATGAACAAAAAGAAGGAAAAGACCAATCTCTGTAGAGATTATAGAACATACCCTTAGCAGAATATCAAAATCTTTATGTATCGAGACCTTCAGATACATATCATCATCTTCAGGGAGAGGATGGAGAGGCAACACAGAGTTTGTAAGCAAGAATGTTCTATCCAGTTACAAAGTGAACAGAACTAAATGCTGTGAATAGAAAGGTAATGTACCACTTCTCTGTCCATTTCATGTGACAGATTTCCACTATCTTGGCAAAAAATACAATTTAAACTGTGCTACTTACAGGTTTGAGAATGACATTTTTGTGGATATTATTCTCTGCATTTTAATCAAACTTTTAATGTGAAGTCTTGTGGAAAACCAGTGAAGAGCTACAATATACCTTGCTTCACTGATAACCGGGCACAGAGATGCTTTTAGAAAACATGCATACGCATTTCACTTATAAAACTCACCATCAAGAGGCCAGACAGGGTGTCTCAGTCTTCACTTCGGGATTTGGTCCGAATAGTATCTGGAACACAACAAAAACATGCAAGCCAAGGTGTCATCCTTCAGCATAGCTAACTATCTTTCACATTCTTGCTCTGGTTCCTCAATTTTGAAGAGTCATTTCTACTTCTACCATCACTTCCTCTTCCACTGAACGAGTTTCTGAGCTGCAGCCATCGTGCCCATCGTACAAGTTAGTACTGACACTGGGTTAGTAGAGTTCTACTCGGAGGAAAGAGCTACCCTATTACCTAAGCAAAATGGTACTTGCCTTGCTTTGGACTTTTAAACGATGAAAATGTTAGCTGGGTAAATTGGAGATTGCTATAATCCTGTGAATTGTACTTCATACTTAATCTGATGAAAAAAAAATATATGTAGGCTTTTTTCTTTTTTATCTGCTATGAAACAGAAAAGTGATTCACTTTCAGATATAGCTCTAGTATTCCACCTGGAAACTTGATTATTTAGGAATAATAAATCAATTTTTTATCCCTGTGTACAAAATAATAACATTTTTCCTGTTAAATTTTACACAATAATCCAATTATTGTACCAGCAAGGTAAAGCTACTAATGTCTTTGCTTTTAAACAAAGTGTTTTTGTGTGACTTGATCTCAAATGATGAAGGGAAATACTATTCCTTTGGGAGGTTATGTAATATTTAATTTCATTGGATTTGGTGTTCCTTATTTTTCAATGAATCTGAGAACTGTATTTCCACATACAACAATTCAGAGCAACATTTAAGATTTATGAATTATTGTGTCTGAATGCCTCTAAATTTATGTTGGTATCTTTGTATACCTTTAAAACATACATGTGTGCACAACTACAAGACCAAGAGAAAAACAGGAACAAGATGACAGCGACACCGTAAAAATAACAAACTTATAAAATCAAGAACTCATTATTGGTTTCTGCCTTACAATTAACTGTAGTAGCAGGGACATATCTCAGGGCAAAGTTCTCTGATATGATAAAAAGAGGGAAGATCTTTTCAATGCTGTTAACTATTTCAGATTCTTGCCTCCTTTCTTCATTTTTTATACCTGCTGCTGATTTAATATGTTTCTTTAATGATGCAGAGGAGTAGCTTAATGTTGTATCATAAAAGCAACTGGACATCATGAAAGTAATCCAGAAACACATTTATCTGATTATCTCACACTCTCAATCTCTTCTCTAGGTCATCCTCATGAACAGGAAATAGGTTTTTATTGTTGTTCTTTCAGTTTTGTATGAAAAAAAAATCTCAGAAATGACCCTGAATCTCCACTGCTATTGTCCTTTACTAAATTTAGGCACATACATATTTTTGACTTTTACATTAGCCATGATGCTGAAGGACTAAAAACTCACACAATGCTAATATTAGCAACTGTTTTATGGAATACATTTTAAATTTCTCAATTAACATATTCGTCACATCATAAAAACAACAGTATTTGCTACATTAGCCAATAATGACACAATTTTATCTTTAGTTTCTTTATTTAAAATCAGTTTATTTTTCAGTTTATTTCAGCCATAAGAAACTCTTCTCTGATAAAATCTCACTATGTTGGAATGGTAAGCTCTTAGCTATATTTACTTAAGAAAATAACACAACTATACAACCCACAAATCATGATCATAAAGAAAAATCTGTCTGCTATTTAATGATAAACAAAGTCAGAAAAGTACATAAGAAATCTATAGGAAATTCAAGAAAAATACAGAAAAATAAAGAGTTTCCAATAGGCTTTACCTCAATCCAAAATTCTTTACTGGAAATAAAGCATTAATAAATGGTTTTACACAAATAAATACATATTTGACTAGGTGAAAGTGTCTGAAATGTGAACTCCTCCTGTTTCTAAATTTCAGACTATACCAAAAGTCAAAATAATGGGCTATATTGGCCAAAGGTTGGTTACAAGAGTCTTTATTTTGCAAACTATACAGAAACAGTAAAAAAGAAAATGCATTATATTTTTTTCAATATTACATAGGATAAACATTAAATTTAGTATTTAATGTGTAGAAATTAATTCAAATAATAAACTGAATTTCCTTTTAATTAACTGCAGATGGAAGTCAGGGAAACCAGTGATCCACTGTTGAAACTATACATCCTGTGGTATAACATTACATTATACAGGTAATTTCAGTTTTAATGTGGGCAGAAAGCAATAGATATGATATGAATGTGTTGGAGTCCGAAAATGTCTACACAATTAATTAACATGCTAACATAAATACAGTGATTAAAATAATTGTCTCTACAGCCAAATCCAAAGTGCTACTCTACACGATAATCATAATCTAGTCCACATGGTAATTACATGACAATAGGGGGAAAAAAAGAATTAAAATAACCCATTTTCTTCATTCCAGCAGCAGTATCTATACTGGTATTAATTTGGTAATTGGGTGTGCTTAGCTATCATCGCCTAACATCCTATACTGGTATGCATGCTAAAACCTCTCTATTTCTATTTTGCAAGGCACCTTACAATACGTTCTCTAAGATTCTGCACTCGTATCAGAAAACATGAATTAAGATAAGGATGCAAAACTATGTCCTGAATTAAGAAAATAAAAAAAGTATAGTTAGTTATTTTTAAAACTATCTTGGGACAAGTGCCAATACTCCGAAATAGAGACACGTATAAAGGTAATATATTTTTAAGCAATTTTTTTTTTCTCAAGTAAAATATTTTACGCTAATCTGATTAGAGAGACAGAGAAACAAAAAAGGGTGAAGTAATTAAGCTGCTTGAGTAAGAATGATAAAGCCTATATGAGGTTAACATGAAAGAAAAAGGACAAGAAAACTTTAGATTTACAGAATCAGTGCTTGTCCATGCTACTGCTTTTAAAAATTCCTTTCAATAACCTAGCCATTTCCTAAGAAAAACATACCTACAAATGCAAACACAAATGAGGATCTTGCATTATTTTTCCCTCCTATTATATTTTTCTGCATACCTTTGGTTAATTAAAGACTGTTGAGATGCTACTTGTGCACTGCAGTTCTACTGTAATACTCTTTTTATTTATTTTATGCACAATTTGCAAAGCCTGCAGGGCCTAAATCATTGACAGTTACAGTATGTGTTTTGAAGAGCACACATAGAGTTCCAAATAAGGGCAAAAATCCTTTTCATGGAAGTTTCTAAAAGTCTGGTTGTCTTTATAGTATGTTTTGCATACTCATATTTTCAGTAGCACATCACATTTCTTTCTTCAGGCTAGACTTCCAAAGTGTTTTTCTTCATCGCAAAGGCATTTAATAACTCAAGAGCACATAATATAATGATTCTTATTTAAACAAAAAAAGTCTATGACTCCAGTTGCAATGTTGTAATAATCATACAAAATATACATGTTTGTTAGAATCCTTTTGATCTTGCAGAGCAAAGGGATTTTATGAGATGTCACTTTGTGAATTTTAGAAAGGTACAATTAATTCATTGACCCCTAATATTATCAAATATATCCATCATGGTCGTCATCATCATCTACATCATCATCTCCTTCATCTTCATCATCATCCTCAATTTCATCTTCATCATTCATTATTTCATCTTCATCATCTTCATCATCTGTCCATCCATGGAAATCACCCGAGGCAAAATCACCTGAAGTCTCTAAATCAATAGCTAAAAAGATATGATAGTTATATAAAGGAGACACAAAATTCAGTATATATTTATAGTATAATATCTATGAGTATACAAAGAACATGAAAGAATATTTAGTTTCAATTCAATTATTTATCTTACCCTAAGCTCTTGGACATAAAATAAAATATAAAAAATATCAATAATCAAAACCACTTTAAAAGGGATGAATTTCTCAAGGGGTTAGGAAGGAAAAACTCCTTGTAACTCCTTTGTACACAAACTGAAAAAAAAAGAAAAAAAAAGAAAAAAAAAAAAGCAAATTGAATTCACTATCACACTGATTACCCAAAGGGATTTCATCAAGCATTTTTTGGCTTCTCTACCGCTACTCTAAATCATTGATTTGCTCTAGCTTTATATACACTAAGCCAAACACATATATGAAGTCTATTAATAACTAACAAAGTAATAGGAGAAAAAAATAATGAAATAAGGATAACATCATAATTTACTTCAAAATCTACCTAATTGGGTCCCTGCTGTCTTCTTACTGAAGAAATTTGATTTGTAATGAAATCAAGTGATTTGTAATGTAATGGAACACCTCTAGGCCAAGCCCCACTGAGTGTTCTTACACTTACCACATTCTGCCACACCGTTTATTCTGGATCCTGTTACTTCATTACCGTATCTGTCAACACACCAACATTGCCCTACGCTTCCGTGGCACTGGCTTGGCTTGTAGTACCCATCTTCATCACACACAGGAATGTACTGCCCTGTGATGCATAAATAGCATAACAATAACAATACCAATATTAATAACCTCTTGGCCAATGTAGTAATTATAAGAGAAAGTAGGATACTCATTGCAGACTCTCCACTGACTGGTTTATTTTCTATTACTAAATTTAGTTAAGCAGCTTATATCCAATATAGGACAGAAAATAAAAGATATTACTGTTGGACTGATTTCAAGTAATAAAAGTATCCCTTTAAGTTTTTTATTGGTACATATTTGCTACATATTCCTTCATTGCCATTGACATTGTATCAGTCAAGATCTTTGGTTTCCATAAGCTAGAAAAGAGATATGTAACTCACAACACTAAATAAGATGCACTGTAATCAATGGAGTGCACATAAGTTAGTCTGAATAATCAGATCAGGCTTCCTGAAATATCTGCGGAAAGGCTTAGGAGCTATTTTTATTTAATGTTTATTTTACAATCCATTTAGTGATCCACTAATATTTTACCACAGAAGACAACCACAGTGCAATACAATAACTATATTCACACACAAAAAAAAGCAAAATAATATACGTTAAACCTAGGTGAACTAGGTTCTAAAGCCAAAAGGCTTTAGATAATACATAATAATAAACAATCCATTGATGGTTTTCATTTGGAATGAACGGAGGGCTTTTTAAAGAGCCATAAGACATAGATAAATCACAGCATAGAAAATATTCATCTGAAAACATTTTGAAGTGTATAGTTACAGTGAGAAGTCATCCTTAGAAGAATTAGAGTTTTGACTACCATGGGCCATGACTTTTATTTTAGCTTCTATACAAATGCAGAGGGTAAAATTAAGATTTGACTTTGTAAAAATCATGAAAAATTAATAGTGATACTGTATAGATTCTTTCACAAAGAAGATCTCAATTACTTAAAGAATATTATAGTAAAGAATCAGCAGAGATACTAATTTAGGAGTGCCGAGGCTGCCCCCTCCATACCAGTAAAAATGTACATTCTATTGGGGTAATAAAACAGACGTAATATCTTTTTGGTAGGTAAGGTAATAAAACTAAGTTTAATAGCTTTCAAAAACTTCATAAATTTTGTTGCTGGAATTTACTGCGGTCTATCTTTGTTGGATTAATATTGATTTTATGTTGCTGTTCCGCTAGTGTTATTTATGTAAGCAATAAAACTTTCAAAAGAATGATCTATGGCTCACCTAAGAGCTTCTTTCCTCCTTGCTGCTTCTGAATGTTGCTGAGTTCCGTCTGGCAAGGTGGATCTAAAATGAAATAAGAAAGGTTAAAAAGTTTACGCCATGAAAGCATATGATTAAGTTTTTATGGTTTGCTACTTTCTAAAGTCATTCTAACTACTGATCTTAAGAAACACACGTCTCATATTAGCAGTCATGCCTAAAGCTCTGAAAGAAAATAATTATTGCACCTTGCTACAGCTCCAGAATTATGAACTGGAGCACCACCATGGATTTGTGCAAAAGGCCATTCCCACTTAACCCATTTCAAAATGAACATCTAGTCACTACTCTGGAGGACTGAGGGATGCCAAACCAAATCAGTAACTATATTATTCCCAATTAATATAGAAACTAGGGTGCTTCTGTGAAGCTTGTATTGATTAGAATCAAAATGGCTCTTTTGATTCTCTCTCATTTCTCTGTTAGAACTCACGCTCATGTTCTGTATTTAACAAACTATTTTCTCCACTAAGGTTTGCAAGATTGTGATTCTCTCATGGCAATTTAAGAGTGGATAGCAGGTGTTTAAAGTCCCAGGTTCAGCAAACTAAGTTGAAAACAGTGGTAAAAGTTTACTTTGAAAGCATAACATGCAGAGATAGCTCTAGGAGATATAATAGATTTTACATTTTAATTTTACACTGTTCAGATGCATAGGTTGCTCTAATTTTCTGTTCTCTCTAAAATGCACATCACAGTATCACAGCTCAATGTATAGGAAAGAAATAAGATAAGAATGTTTATATGTTACTGTTGAATAAGTGAGAGGATCAAAGACAGCAAAGTAGTAATCTTTGAACATTGATACATTAGATCACTAGCATAAAGGCATTTCCCACTCTGTATCAGCAATAATGTCACTGAACTCACTCATATGTGTCTTTTAACTTGCACAGATCTCACACAATATTCTTCTAATCTCACTCACACTGTCTGAATACTAATTGCATTATTCACTTTAACAAACTTTGATTATATTTAGAGTATCTTTGCCAAGCCATTAAGTCAAGGCTCTGTTCTGAAACAGAGTGAAATACAGTCCATGCAAACTTCTCACGCGGTTCAAAGATCCGTAAGACCTAGCTAGGACATGTTTAGACCAGAATCCAGTTGCTTTACAGAGTAATTACAAAAGTCACTTGAGTGGTGGTAGTCAAAAGCAAATTCCCCAAATTTCTCTGAAAGGAGAACAAAAATTGAGTCTTGCAATTGAGTGAGCTGGGAAAGAATTCCGGACCCAGGACAGAGAAACACTGGATGGACAACAGAGTCCAGGAATAGAAAGAATATATTGACATGAAGATGGCTTCTGGAAATGTTCAAACACTAGTGATAATGCCAGCGGAGCTCCTGGTGACCAGATAGCCCTTTGGCTGGTATAGACTACCTATACTCACAGGCCTTTTGTATTATTCATGGCACTTAACCCAATAGATGGAAACTGGAAGCCAATGGTAACCCCACACTGAGAACTCGCTGTTAACTCCTCTTAGCTTTACATTTCAAATGCTATTTACATTTCTTCTTAGGAAGATATATTTAAAGAAGCTTACAAAGATTTAGAGTGAAACGGTTGTCCGTTCAATCCTTGGCCTCAATTCTAGTGGGCCAAGTTTTCACACTAAACATATAATGATTATTTTTAGCATCAAGACCTTAAAGTAGGCTTTAATTCTAAAATGCTGTTCATGGGAGTCTTAGTGCCAGAACAAAATTTTAAGTAATGCCTTTCAAGCAATTTTATCTGTGTGCCATTCAAAACCTCTGGGACCTGGCATCACTGGGCAGGTTTTAGCTTTGCTAAATTTAGTTATTTAAGTACCTAGACTTTGAGTATTTGCTGAAGAAATATAGTCTAATATGTTTTTTTGTAAGAAGTGTAAGCTTAATAGCAAGCATGCTCACTATTATTCCAGATATATTCAGCACCTTTCAAAGGTAATGCTTCTGTCTTTCCTGATATTTAAAGATTTAAATTCTTAATTGCACATATGCAGTAACATAATAGTTCATATTTCCCATGAAGCTGTATTTTCAACATTCTGAGGACCAATTATCTCTCAAAACACAGGTATTTCCAATTATTTTGCAATCTATTTTGTATCATAGTGCACGCAAGTACCAGGGGCAAGAGGGATCTACCAAAGAAGATGGCAAATATACTGACGAGAAGAACTTATCTAGATAGAAAAAAATAAGTATTTTGTTCAATGGAGAAATCCTAAATTAGAAACACAGAAGTGTATAAATGAACAGTAATATGTGGCAAAGCAAAGTTGATGGACTATGTCTAAACAAAAAACTTCATTTCCAGCTATAAATTTTAGGCGGTATGATTGAAAATAGGCATAGCACTAATCAAAAGAAAACAAGACATTATGAGAAAGTTACTCACCTAAAATTCTGCTTCTCAGAAGACAAGTCTTCAAGATTCATACTTAAGTTTCACTTCTCAGGACAAAAGCGGTATAAAATACTTAACAACTAACAAGAAATCACTCTGGTGCTTAAATCTGTTGAAGAGAGCGGCAAGCTAGAATTTCAACCAGATTTCTTTTTGTCCATAGTACATACTTTTTCTTCTTTCTCCAAAATGTAATGCTTCCATCTGCACTTTCTAGCTAATTCCCGAGTTTGGGAAGATTGCTTATAGATTCTGAATTTATTTTGGTAGAAAAGCTACTTTATTGGGCAACCTTTAGAAGTCTTGAACAAAGGAGACCTATCCTTTACAAAAATCACTGTGTGGAAACTTCCTTTGAAATAGAAATGAACCTGACACAGAAAAGTCAGGAGGATGATCTGAATAAAAACAAAAGACCTAATCATCTTTCTCCTTCATGATTCTTCCATAAATGTGGCTTGAACCAGTATCACTGCATGGTTCTATGCGATTCATGAATCCACTAATCATTCAGTTCTTCTGTGCTCAAAGCATTGATGAATACTGGTATTGAATATAGGCCCTTGAGACATCTAAGTTCGGTTGTGACAAGAGGTGCTGCCAGTTACTTATTACTACCACATTTTGAGGCCTTCAGCACATTAACAGAACAATGGGTGTAAAACTAGTACACTTGTCTACAAATTTCCAGGATTTTCAGAAGAAATGTCTCAAGAAGCTGTGAGCCTTTAGTGAGCCTCTAGCTTTCTCAGATTCTCCAGATTTTTGATTAGAGAACAGTGATTTTCCATATCAAGTAGATAATTTATGTCAGAACACCCCGCTTCTGACATGCAGTCCATTGCTGATTAAAGCTGCCATGTTGTGTCTTGCTTGTGCTTGGGGCTACCTATAATTATTATTGGATTATTGCAATTTTAACTGTAAGGACTTGAAACAGTCAATACTGCCCTTAAAAAAAACCTTCTGGGGACCTCAGTTGTGTGTTAGGATGCACTCTGCTTTTTTTCAAAATCATGTGTAAACATATTTAAATGTCCTGCAATCTGAGTAAACAGATGTAATAAACATAAATCACAATCTTGATCACTCTGCTGCAAGATGGATTAGTTCAAAAGTCATAGAGCACTCTTCCATCTTTCACAGACAGAATAGCCTGTAAGAAAAGTATCAAGGCATCAAGAGACATGTCGGACATATGTGGAAGGCTGCAGCAAGAAGATGTTTAGGTGCTAAGCCTTAATATTCCAAGAAAACCTGGGCACTTTCCCACTCATTTTTAGCAGTGATGCAACAAAAACCAGGCTGTAATAATGACAAAGCCCTGGCAGAAAAAAAAATGTAGCCTTACTGAAAGACCAACACTTGAAATTGCCTCCGCATTTAGAGCGATAAGTGTTAAGCTAGCATCAAAAAACTAAGAAAATAAGTTTTGAAGACAGGCACTGAAGTATTTGAATGAACTATAGTTGAAAGTGGAGGGCAACAGGGACAAAGGCATAAAGAAGGACAGTAATGCACTGGGAAATGCAGATGCTGAAGCATTGCAGAATGTCTTGGATGTATCTCAGAAATAATAAATCACATTGAAAGCAGGACTGAGGCCAAGGAAATATGCAGGAAGCACTTGAGAAGAGTTAAAAAAAGAGTCAAGGTGGAACAGCTGTTAGAAGATCCTTTTCTGAGCAAGAAGCAACTGACTTGAGTATTCATAAGATGACGTTTATGTTAACTAGAAGTAATATGCAGTAATGGTCCTAGTGTACTCTAACTCATCACAAAAGACCCGAGGCAGAAATAAGAATGATACTGCAAGTACTTGTCTGATTTGACAGTCTTGGATTGAGAAGTTAGGATCAAAGAACATGAGGTTTTCCCAGAGAATGACCTAAGCAAATATTCAAATATCACAGTGGAAGTGTATTGTAAAACTGTCCAGAAAACCTCTGCTGTGCTCAATGAATAGAGCTCTCTCCGTGACAGAGCTTACTTTGTTTAATCAGAAAGAAATCGATAAGTTTCTCTACCTAGCCATTTCCTTCATCGCACAGGTCTAGTTAGAGATTTTATTTAGAACAAAGTACAAGATTTAGCTTAATGCTGAAAATCACAGACGAATTCTGTGGTCACTCATACTCTAGGAATCTAGGGCTTGCACATCACGTAGTTGTACACAGGCTAAGAAATAGAAAAATAAATGCCAAAAGATGACTGTAAGTATTTTTCTCTCCTTACATCTTTAGAAAAAGTAGAAGATGGGTTTTGTTTACAGTGTTAATTTGGAGAGATGGAATGCATATCAAATGTGCAAGATTTCACCTTATTTGCAGTGCTGAGGCTACATCGTCTTCAATATAAAGCCAGACGTTGCTAGTATCAGCAACAATCTAATCTGTTTTAAATCATCACCTTATTACAGCAACATGGGCAGGAAAGGAGAAAAAATAGAAAAAGAGAAGGAAAACTTAATGCTGGATTGTGCCAAGGTGCCCATGGTAGTCTGGTCACAGCTTCTGGCCATTAGGGTGCCACTAGTATGACACGGTGGTGTTAAGATCAGCCCTTTATGATACCTTCATTGATTTGTAGCAGTACCGTGATCAGATATTTTGGACAAATAGTATTTATAGGCTATAGAACGTAAAACTACTTGAACTAATTTATGAAGGTGCTTTCTTAACGTCCTGATTATGCAGTACACACATTATATGAAATTGGTAGGACAGCCAGCTGGTATAAGAACCTTGGCTCATATTCAGCCAGATTTTCTGTGCTGTACTTTGTCTGACAATTGACAAGAATCAGTGCTACCAGCCAAAGACTCAAAGTGTTTATACACCAACCTCAAACCAGTGTATTTTGTAAAAAAAAAAAGAAAAAAAAAAAAAGCACATCATGTTCTTGAAGAACAACTTGGCTTCTGGTATAGGTAACGTTTCGTATTTTAGTTTTGGTAACAATACACTGCCTATAAAAACGAAAGACAAAAGACTGTTTTGTAATAAAAAACAACCAAAAAACTGTTTTGAAAGGTGAAATGTTAACTTTGCAACTGGGAAAACTGTCAAATTAGAGTGGGCATTTAGTTACTATGCATCTACAGATTTATAACTAGCAAATGTGGCATGGTAAGAATCTTTACTCCTACAGAAGTCAGAATCAAACTGTAAATGCTGATGGTTAACAGGAATTTATCAGGATAGTTTCAAAGGCACAGATGAGATCTAAAAAAGGAGATTAAATTTTCAAAGGTTGATGTGCAAACTT